TTTGAAAAGTTTTTTAACGCGAGGATCAAACCAACCATCTTTACCATCTCTTATTTTCTCTATTATTGAAACATTTACAAAGTTCTTTAGAGGTAAGTCAGAGATTGTCAGTTTTGATGACTGAGTTACAAACAATGTTAGATCTTCCTTCAAAAGTTGGACGTCATTTTTTTAAAGGTGTTCTTGTCTTTCTCTTGATAGTCTAGTCTTTGTCATGATGATAGGAAGGGCTTCTGAGATATGTTTTTCTTAGAGTAGAGCTTGGCATCTGCAAAGTGAGATTCTTGAGTTGCGAAAGACTTGATCTCAACAATGACTTGTCTCATTTCCCTATTATGAAAATATTTAAAGCATTGGTACAATGTTGATGGCACAGCTCCTATCTCATGAAACCAAGATCGTCCTAATAGTAGATCGTAAGATGTTTTGGAGTCAATGACATGGAAGCAGGCATATGACACCAATTCTTCGATTTTGATTTTGAGATGAATCATACTCATAACTCATTGCCCCCATTGATTGAAGCCTTGAATCGTCAGCTTACTCTTTAACAACTAATTCATGGAGATTCTAAGTTGCTTCATGGTGCAAATTAATATGACGTTGATGGCTGATCCACGGTCAATCAATATACGATACACCTTATAATCTCGAATATATCTGCTAACGTAAAAGAGTTTATTGTGTAAGCGAGACCCTAGCTGTAAATCTTCACCGCTGAAATAGATTGTTGCCATGCAATTAACAGAACTAACCTGATCGGCATTAGTTAGAATCTTCTTTTTGAATCTTTTCAAGTCAACCAAAATTGTACTCCTGCTTGGCGAGTTTTTTCAAAAAATTCAAGTGCCTTGGACAAATTCAAATTTAATGGCATGTCCTTCAACTTTACAATCATCTTTTTGTCTTCTAGTACTTCTTTTTGTGCACTTTTTATACTCAAACATTTATCTGATAGAATACTTGTCATGTATTTGACTTTGTAAACACTAATCACATAAGATGTGACTGGTTTCCTCGCAAAGAATTGGTTGGGAAAGTACTCCAACAAAGTTATAGGTGTACGAGAAGACAATTTATATTCTTCATCTTCAATAGTTGTTGTCTGAGAAGGAAATCTTATTTTTGTCCGGCGTATTCGATTTCGACGAGAATGAGAACCCTTCTTTCTTTTGGGGTGTACTGGATTTTTAGATAAAGGAGAAAAATGTTGTATCTTATGGCATCTATGAGACTTCATCGTAGTCCATTTTCTCGAATCTTTTTCAATAACCGCAGAATCATCTAAAGAAGGTCACCCTCTTGGTTTGAGTTCCAAGATTAGTGCCCCCAACATGAGTTTTGTGTTGCCAGGTAGATTAGATGACTTCATATTGGCACTTGAAGTTGGTATTTATCATTTTTGCTGCTGAAAGTTGACCAACCATCTCCAGTCTCATCTTCTGATTCAGACGATAATACCCAAACATCTAGATCATATGTCATTAGCTCATAAAGCATTGAAATATTAGACTTTTCATGTCTCGGCATGCCTGGGTATGCATAAACTATTGTCACCTCATCATCAACGATGAATTGCATTTGCACAGCTCCATCAAGAAGGAAAACGGTGAGTATGTTTTCTTCAATTGATGATGTTTCTTCCGTGGAGGTGGAATAATTCAATAATTGTGATGGTTCCTTAAGATGTATGGGAGGCGACGATTGTACTCTTTTATTTGAAATTGGAATAAGGTCAAAAAACTCAAAAGTGATCATTGTTACATTTGCAGTTGTTGTATTTTCACTGGAATCGAGTTTGATTTTCTTCTCATTTAGTAGATGAAGAATCTCCTCCTTCAAGAAAAAGCATTTTTCAAAAGGATGGCTAACAATTCGATGATATTTGCAATATTGTGTTATCAACTATTCTTACTTCTTCTGGTTGTTTAGGCATTGGGAGCTCGATAAGTTTTAATTCAAGCAACTGATCAAAGATATCATAAGCTTCAGCATTAGAGATAGTTCTTCCCTTTAAGTTCTTTCAAACTCGGTCTTATTTTCTGTTGGACCTGATATTGAGTAAACTTAGCATTGAAGTTTGTATTTAACCTTTTTATTAGAAATCTTCATTGGTGCAGTGGCAATTGTCATAGCTTCCTCTGCTTTGAAAGGTTTCACATTTTTCTTTTCATGAGGTTCACTTATCAAGTGACTTCCATGTCTGGCGATTTGGATCTCTAAGTCATGGGCTTGTGTTGCAAGTTCTTCGAAAGTATGAAGCATGTTTTCCTGGAGGCTATAAAGTAATTCCCAATGCATCTCTTGGATACACAAATCAATCGTAGAACCTTCACGAATGCACTCCTTGTAGTTGAGAAAAAGACTCCTCTAACGCTTGATATAATTGATTGCGGATTCATCTCTTCTTGTTTTATCCTTGCAAGTTCAGGACGACTTACCATACGTCGGGTTCTATAGAAACGAGTGAGAAACTCTCACTCAAGTTGGTCCCAACTAGCAACAGTCTTAACTACAAGATCTGTGTACCATTCGAACACGGCACCTCCGAGGGAATATACGAATTATTTCACCATTAAATCGTTGTAGGTGCTAGTGTTATTGCAAGTTTTGATGAAATGGGCAATATGTTGCTTCGGGTGGCCTTTTCCATCAAATTGTTGGAACTTCGGGGGTTGGTAGCCCATAGGCATTTACATCTTATCAATTCGTCATCCATATGGCTTGGCATATACAAATGAAAATTGTTGAGCTCCTCCATATTGGGCTCGGATCGTATCTGCAATTATATGTTGGAGTTGTTGGACAGAGAGTGCAATAACAGAAATCTGAGAAGAATCTCGCATGACATTTTTGCGTCATGGCTCAATCATATTGCTTTTGCTTCTGTTGATTTTCTAAAGATTTAGGATTTTCTGGTGTTTTGTTACCAAATGAATTTGGATTTTCTTGACTATTTCCTTTTGAAAGTTCTTGCAATTCAAGTCAATTCATCAGTGTAGCAACCCGCATATCTTTACCTTTAAGAGTTTTAGTCAATCTTTCGATCGTAGTAGTGAGTTGTTGAAGATGTTCTTCACATGAAATGACTTCCGTCACCATCACAGGCATAGGCGTATCAGAGGCTGATGAATAATTACCCCATTTCTACTTATGAGAAGTCTCAAAGTAAGATTCAATCCTCGAACCAGTGTTGGAGTGTGTATTAGGTAAAGAATTGTTCGTTTCTTCCTTTAGATGGACAGAAGAATGAGAAGGTTGTCTTTTTTTTTTTGGAAGAGCCTTCCTTTTACTTTGCCTAGAGCAATGCTCCATCGGTGGCAACAGTTGAGATTTGCCCGCCTTTGTTTTGAGGCAGGTAGTTGAAATTGACTCCTCGATCAAGTCTACTAACTTGTTAATGAGAGGAATCACGATGTCTTTAGATGTCATTACTGTTAGACTTGTTGACTTTTTGACTTGAGAGATGAGAGGACGAGAGGGTCCCATCGGGCGTGCCAAAATTTGTAATGACAAAATTTCATGATGTAATATAACATAAAAGTAATGTCAAAATTACAATTGTTGATGATTTAACTTAATTTAATAAAGTGGTGTTGACTCTCTTTGGAGTACTTTTCACATGTAAAGACAAGGGTTTGGTAAAGACAAATGTTTGACCAACGTGTTCCTCAATCTTTGATTTGGTGATGCTTTGGTAGATTTGTTGAAGACGTGAGTCGGATTGACGTAATTCTCGTTCTTTGATATTTGATTTGGTGGATTTATTGAAGACGATAATCAGATTGACGTGAATCTCGTTCTTTAATCTTTAACTTGACTTTGTTGAATCTTCTCACCATTCTTTGTGTTGAATGACTCAAAAATGATTTGAATCTCTTGAAAAAGGGCATTGGCAATGTTTATTCACCTTAGAGATAGATTTGCAAGACCTCAATAAGACATAAACTCTGGCAAAGCTTCGCTGCTAATCTTCCCTTCTTCTCTTGAGATGAACTCAAGTAGAGCTTCTTGATCCTCCCTTCTCTTTGGCTTCTCTTCTTAGTCTCCCTCTTTAGCCTCCACCTATTGGCCCATCCCAAACCTCTATTTATAGTGCTAAGAGTAGTTATCCATAAGAGTATTTTTACTTGAATATTCTTATATGGGATTTAGGTAATAGACTACACATAAATTTGTGGGTTTTAGTTAATTTATAAAATTTAAATCCAACCTTCTTTACCTTTAAATTTGGGCTTGTAGAATTTAAGTCAATTTTAATTTAATTTAACAAGTCTAATTAATTATATTTAGATTTGTATTATTTGGGCTGTGGAATTTAGGTCCAACTTAAGTCTATTTAATTAAATTTAGACTTGTAACATTTGGGCTTATAAAATTTAAGTCCAATTCCAATTTCATTTATCAAATTAATTTGAGCCTAATTATAGACATTAATTTATTAATTTTTTTAATATCTACACTATGCATAAAGGTTAATCAAATTCACTTACCTGATTGTTTAAAAAAAAGTAAGATATTATTTGCGATAAAAATTTAATAAAAATATTTGGTAAGTCTCTCCGAATACAAAAGGGCCGGTCAAATCTGATTTAAAAAAAGTTAGAGTTTAGAGTATCTCCAAATGGCTAGCTATTTGACATTTATTAGCTAAAATAAAGAGACAAATCACAAAATTGTACTCCAAGAGACTAATTATTTTATATTTGAGCTAAATGACACTCTACATTTGGCTAGCCTCCTTGACTAGCTATTTTATATTTGGAGAGTCAAATAATTCTTTTGTACTCTAAGAGGATAATTATTTTATATTTTAATGACATGTTAAGTTATGCAATATTTTAATTTAAAATATTAATAATAATTAACTAAAATAGACAATATAGTTAGAATAATTTTATAAAAATAACTCTTTAAAATAAAAAATATAATATTTTAATATATTTTGTGCAACAATTTTTCGGATAGCGTTCAAGGTGCCCTTACTTTTCAGTAATAACTAATAAGACGCTAAAAAGGCATCATCATCAGATCAGATAGTCCGAGACTGAGTGCACAGGAGGAGATACCAGATCGATCGGCGTCGAGCGAGACGTTCCATTTTCTTTGAGGAGTTACTTGGAGCCGGAGGTAGGCATTTACTGATGGATCATTTTACATTTTACGTTTAAAACCAAAAGCTTCCGCTGAGATACTACTGCCCTTCTCTCCCGTCCCGTCCCGTCCCGTCCTTCTTCGGCACGTAAATACTTGCTTATTCTCAGATTCCATACTACAAGAACAACAAAAGGGTACAATTTCTATATCTTTAGTTCCCCCCCACCGACTACTCTATGAAATCCCCTCTTTTCTTTTATACTTCGTGTACATTCTTCAATCCTTGTCCTTGCGAGATTTTTTGCTCTTTATTTGACCGGGGAATTCCATTATTTTCGTCGCTGCTAGTATTAGGGTTTGTTTTGTTCGGGAGGTTTCGACTTTCCATTCTGCTAATTACTGCTAGCATTAAATATTGCGGCTTTAATCGTGTGCCTTTTTCAATCAGCAAATTTAGAAAAAGCAGTCATTTTTTCCTTGTTTTGGATTTCGATGGATTATTGTGTGCTCGCTCATCGTTGGCAGGTTTCTTCCTATAGTGAAATTTCAGATATTTTTTTTTTTTTTGCCTTTTTTGGGGTGGGCTAATTCCTTATACTGAATATAGTGTGAAGTTTAGGGTTTGTGACTGGTCTCACAGTCATTTGTGGAGCTTGGTATTGGTTGGGGGCATCCTAATATGCTGATGCTTCTCTACTTCTCATTTCTTTTTTCCCCCAATTTGAGCAAAGTTTAGGAGGGGAACAATTAAATCAGCCAACAATGCCTAATTTCTTTCCTGTCATTTGTATAGGTGTATGATTACTTTGTTTCTCTTCAGTTGCAGATATATGGATACTGAACTCGATGTGAAGCAATTAAAGAAGCCGGAAAATCTCTCCAAGGAGTCTACTGAACAATTGGATTCCAAATGTATAGGTGTGGAAGCAAAGAAAGCTGTTGAACTTCCACAACCATCAACGGTGACTGCCACCAACACGGGAAGTGCTCTGGGGCCTATCACTCCCGATTCAAATAGAGAGATTGGGGATACTTTCACTGATTTTACATCCCCACTGACTTTGGTTTCTTCCTCTCCAAAATCAATTTCTCTTGATTCTCACATTAGCAATGACCCATATCCTTCAAATGATGATGACACACCGTGTACCCCTAAGGAGAGTATTTTTGACTCATTTGCTCCTGGTCCCAACAAGCTCATGCTAGCTCCACACCATAGGAAGTATCTGGCACAATCACAGATCAATGTTGCAAGGAGGCTTGATTTTGGTGCTTCTTTAAAGTTTGTTGAAAATGAAAATCGTGGAAGTGATGATGATACCAGATTGGACGAAGAGATGTTTGTTGAAACTGTGTATGACACTCTCTTAGAAGCTATAGTTTCAAAACAGACTGAGGGGGTAATTCCTCAAATTTCACATTTGGATACAGGATCTGATGGATATAAGACGCCTACTTCTGCACCTCGTCTCAGTGGTATTGCTGAAACCTGTCCCGGTGCACCTATGAAGTCCACGAGGAAATTGATCAATGTTGATCCTGGATTGTGCCGAAAGCTTGAATTCTGAGGCTGCCTAAGCAGAAAATTTGCACACTGACGTTACGGGCTTTTTAGCTGCTCGGCACTTTTAACTTTGATAACGGAGCTGCTAACTCAAATTCTGATGAAATGGTATATTTGCACGTCCAATTTTTTTTGAAAGATTAACAAATTTCCTTCTAAGGTTAGTATTTACTTGTGATTCTGAGAGGATGTCTTCTGGTGTGGAACGATTCTGTCTGACCAAATTATTATCCAGTAGTATCATTATAGACTAACTGTGACATGAACTTTGGAATACAGAGAATTTTGTTTGAGCAGAAGGTATATGTTTGTATCACTGCACATCTGGTGTCTGCCTTATCCTATCGACCCCCCTCCCTCTCCCCCTTATCCAACCCACCTGGGCATGCCCCCCAGCTAAAAAGAGAAGAATAATGATTTTGTGTGATTCTTTTACAAGTTGTGCAATGAGGTGTTCGATTAGCATAAAAAAACATATTCTGTTTTGGTGAAAGTGTTTTTAGTTTTGAATAAATAAGTTTTTTAGCCTGAGTAGCATCTCAAACCAATTTTTAAAAGGGCAGATCCTTATTGTGCTTGGGAAATGTCTGCTCATTGAGCTATACTGTTAGAGAAGAAGCTTATGTTTGGTTTGCTTTACAGCAAAGATGCAAATTATACTTTGGGAGCATGATTTTGCTGTTATACATGATAGGCAAATTAGAGTTTTGTGACCAGTGCAGACATTGGTGTGTATGGCATCTTATCCGCGAAACATAAGCAAAAAAATGTCTTCGTCTGTGGGCTCCTGCTGAACTAAATCCTCCTTCAATCTTTTGCATGCATAACCAGAAAATGCTTTGAGATCATGAGATACTTGTCGTCCCTGTCCCTGTCCCTGTCCCTGCCGTTTTTCCTGTTCCAACTTTCTTAATAAAGCCTAAGAATTAATTTGATTGTTTTATATTCTTTCCCGTCCCTCCAGAAATCCATTTCTTTTTATTTGATTGTCAAGTATTATGCAACTAACATCAATTTGACAGTCCTTAATTCTGCCCAACTCTATATCCGTTAAAAAACAAATTTTAATAATCATCAGATCAATCATGTAAAGGATAATCTAAATCCTCAAGGATAATAGGATAATCCAAATCCTCATAAATAGATAAAGCCAATGTGCTGTAGAAGATGAACTCCTCACAGACGATACTTTGCATGTAATATATTAATCCTATAGAATGTGAGCATCAACACACAAATTGTGCGTGGCAGAATGTATGCAATTGTGTATCATTACAGATAATGATAATTATCGTGTGTGCAATCTTCCAGTCATGGAGGAAAAATCTCTTTGCTCTTCTTTGGGTTATCAAGACGAAACCTGTGAAGTTTACTATAAGGTCGGAGGGCCAAAAAATACCTATTATAAGGTGTAGGTCGTGGGGGAGGAGCCAATGATCACACCGAATGTTGATCCTTTCCCTCGATTTTTTCTTGTTCATTCACCCGTTTGGATAGTCAGGAGAGGTCTGAAAGAACTGCAACCCCATTACGACGTGGTTTCTCTCTTTCATTGCACAATGTTTCCATGCCCACCTCCAATCATTGATTTTCTATCGAATTTTCATGACAAAATCAGAGAGAGACTACTCTCCATAAATGGTTCATCTTCCGGCTCCTATTTAATACCTAGCTGTCAAAATTTATGTGATTAAATAGTCTGCATCCCCAAATTAAAATAACATTAGTAACTTGTCAAAAGTTTTCTGAGTAACACTCTGTCTAACCTATTTCGGAACGGCCTTGTACTTTTGGCCAGAGTTAATAACAATTCATGGGCCACGCTACCTCTCTCTTATACTTCAAAAACGTTCTACCGTAAGAACCATGTTCAAACACGATCATTAATTCCAACCACTCCTTGTGCCCGAAGATCAAAATTAGCAAAAGGGATATAGAGGCTCACAACTCAAAAGCTTAGGGAATAATGCTCTGACCTACAAGCAATTATGCTTCTGATACCACCTTGGAATTTTAGCACAAGATTCTATCCTGCTGCATCATACTGTGATTTTCCCAGCTGGTTAATGCCTTCAGTAGCACATTCACAGTAGAAAAGTTCAACCAGTTGATTCAAGAGGTAACACGTCATTCAAATTACCTTAGAGTACATTTCTGAGTGTTGATAAGAAAGCTACGGCAGAGTTTATAGCTTAAAAGCACCAAGTTTCATATCTTCTCAAATTTGCCCTGTATCACATAAATTATAAGTGCCTCAAGACCCACGGATAGCATGAGACAACAAAATATGATTACCAGAATATCATACACTCATTATTAGCAACTTAGACATCTGAACATGTCTGTATTAAAACCATGAATCGTGAGGACCAGAAAGACAGCATCTACTACTATGAAGCCCTGGTTGCTTATATTAAGTGAGAATGCTGCAAGCAACAAAGCTTTAACAATCCAATCATCCAAACCTTCCACACAGCAAGCATAGAGGCCTTATGGTTCTGAACTAAAAACAAGCCTAACCGAGAAGAAGTTTTCGCTTTCTCATGTGATTTTTCATACTGGCAATATCACAAACAAGACCGACAAAGTGAAATTCCCCTTCAAAGGTAGACCATTGAAAAAGTTTAAAAGCTTAATTATTTTAATTTATTGCACAGAACTGACGGAAGTGTGGATGTATTTCTTACCGGTGATGCTTTGAGAGGAATTACCAGTAAAACTGAGTGTTCATGAGTTACAGAACAAAGTATCCTTCTTGACAGAAATTTCCTAAGTGCTAGGGATTATAGAGCCCATATTTAGGTGTCACTGTTCAGAAGTCAGAATTGATGCTATTTCCATCACTAGTAAAAATAACAATACCATATCTCAGTCAAGTAGCAATGCCGGCCGTCACCATACAATCCTAAGGAAAACTTCACCAATAAAGATTTTGCTGATTTGGTTTAGAAGCATTAATATGATTCATAGTCGCCTGATGATGAATCAATTGAGAAAGCTAAAACCAAACATCTCGTCCGTAGAAAAAGAATTTCATGTCTAGAAATCAACTTGATGATGAATTTGTACCAAGAGCTAGGGGAAATTAGCCTAGAAAGCTCCGAGCACTTTATAAGTTTTGTCGCAATATATATATACATATATATATATATGCACACAACTGTTGGGAATTCTTATGTCTAACATTAAGAGTATCTTTTGGACACCATAAAAAAGTGTCCTGTTTTTATTTTGTAATATTGGCTGGAGTGTGTTTCTCTTTAGAAGGTTTAATATACAGTAAAACTAGAAGCGTGCATTTTATTTACAAAGGGGTATTGGATGCATGATTAATTGTAGTATTAAAAAAAGGTGTACAAGGAAGTTGTGTCTTCACCTTTGAATTCAGTGACAGAGAAACCAAAGAGCTTAAACAGAGTCTCTTCCCCCGGTTATCTTCCACACAGTGATGTATGCGGCAAACCAAATCATCCACATAATGGAAAATTGTAAAAACAACAAACAGACAAATAAATAGATTTACTGCCAACATATAAAATAGTCGAAAGGTATGATGAACAAAAGGGACAAGACAATATGCACATAGAGACTCTACCGTGGCGTCTAATCAAATCTCAAGTACCTAGGAACTGCATCATCGAAAAAGTTAAAAAAAAAAAAAAAAAAAGACAACCCAAACCAACCTAGTATATAAAAGAACAAAACAAAAGTCACGCCAATAGTCCTAATGTGACTCGAATTATTACCATCTAAAGTTTTGATTTTGCATATACCAACAGAACGGATCTCTATAATTTGGTCTTGTAATGACAGGTTTGGTTGCCAACACTTCTACTCCTGATATCGACAGTAAGATCGCATGTGGTGTAAGAGACCACATGAATTTTGAACAATATTTGAACTTTGCCTGAAATTCGTGTGTATGTTTGTAGGGGCAACGTACCGGCGATCACCTCCGAATAGACATTGGGATTGGAAAGAAGCCGATCCGCCATTAGGGTGAGGGTCAGATTCATCTGACGCGTTTCATCGGCCGATATCTTCCCTGCCGGTATCGGAGCTTCTCCGACGACTTCGCCTCTGTACTTGAGCAACGCGGAACTATTGGTGTATTTGAAACCAACTTTGTTAGGGTTTTTAATGGAGAGGTTGACGTCGACAGTGACGTTCAACAACACTCTAACCCTGGCAATGTCTATAGAGAAATCCAAGTCCCTGACAGAAACAGAATTAACGGTGGTAAGGGGACGTTTTGCCTTAAAGACGGTAAGCCCCAAAATCACAAAGATGAGAACCACCAACAATATAACAGCAATCACGGCCAGACATATATTCCTTCTTCTTCTTCTCCGGAGTTTGGATGTGTGGTGATGATCAGTAGGAGTAGGGGATCTCATTGATTTGCCTTGCTTTGGTTCCAATTCCATTAACCAGCTATGGCGAAAACAAAAACCCAACAGAAAATACAAATAAAAATCGATCCAAGGGATGGATGGTTGGAGGAGAGTGAGAACAGAAACAGAATCGCGAAGAAGCAATAAATACTTGGTACGAAGGGGGACGGACGCTCGACACGTGATGGTGATTTTATTGATTATTTTTCAAAATGAAATGAATGCTGAACGATGATACGGTTGGCTGCTGAGGTTTATATGTGATTGTCGGTGGGTGTTGGTTTGTTTTTAGGTAGAGTAATAACAGGGCAACGGGGAACCCCGGCCGCCGGGGGTGTTACATCATTCAATATTATATTAATCACCTTATATTGTCATTTAATAATTATTTAAATCGTATTAATAATAACGTAATATTACCACTTTACTCAATATTTACTTCTAAAAATGAGGCAAAGGAGGGTAGGCTTTGAGGACGGGTTTAAATAAAGGGCTTAAATAGGCCGATACCTTCCAAAAAATTTAATAAGATAAAAATATATTTTTTAAAATAATTGAAATAAAAATACATATGCTAAAAAAAAATATCATAAATAGTGCATACTTAATTGAATGTGAGACTTTTAGGATTAGAATGTGAGGCTTTCAAGATTCTTTTTGATATTTGTGTATCATTTGAATTTTAAAATTTTATATATATATACCCACACACACATAATACAGTGACATTAAATAGTGACACGTTCAACAAAAAAAGAGTAACGTCAAACAGTGAAACGCTCGACAAAAAAATAGTAACATTAAATAGTAACACACTCAACATAAAAATAGTAACATTAAACTGTAACACACTCAACAAAAAAATAGTAACATTAAACAGTAACACAAATATTTTTGTTGAGCGTGTCACTGTTTGCTGTTACTCTTTTTTTGTTGAACGTGTCACTGTTTGATGTCATTGTATTACATGTATGTGTGTATGTATATATACATATAAAATTTTAAAATTCAAATGATACACAAGTGTCAAAAGAAATCTTGAAAGTCTCACATTCAAGTAGATATGCACTATTTATGGTAGGGATAATTATTGATAATTATTTGATAAAAAAGAGGATTTAAAAGAAGATAAGTTTGAAAGCGATACTTAAAATCAAATAAATTTTGAAAATAGTACTCATATTCCATTATCTCTTAAATAAAAGCTAATTGCATTGAAACCCAAAATAAGATGACGGTTGAATAAAAAAAAGCTAATAGCATCGAAGGCCCAGCAGGAGAAGGATCAACTTAGACGATGATACAGTTGCTCAAATCAAATTCTTTGAGTTGTTGGAGAGAGAGAGAAAGAGAGTTATGGGGGAAACATTGAAAGGAACCGTTTATGGCTGGCGTGCAAGAGTTGATGGGGGGAAGGAATGGATCGAATAAAGTTATTCTGGTTGCATTACCACTTCACTTCACCTTCCAAAGCTGTCTGTCCTCCACGTTGTATGACCACTTCACTTTGAGTTCGAAAGCCATCTATCTGTCCACATGTATTATAATTTTATAATTATACGAGCGGTAGACCGGGATAAGACTTGAATGAGAACAACCAAACCTACATCACGCAGCCATGAAATGCCAATAGACTTAGACAAGGACAACGAATTAATAATCATATTTCAAATCTTGAAAATGCACAAAGGACAATTTATAATGAATTATTATCTATATGAGTAATATTATTTAAATCTAAATATTTGATATAATTTATTGACATAATGATGTGATTTCATAAAAATTATTGGATCAATATCAAATTGTAATGTTGAATAGGGTCTAAGTGAATCCAAAGGTCATGCTGAATTAGATCAATAAATTATGTCAGCAAATTATGTCCTAATAGCATTGTTCTATCTACATTTCTTCTAAATAGGTATATTTTCAATGTGGCCTCCTCCATTATTCAAAGTATCACCGACACTCTTTCTAGTATATATTTACATATCATTTACACCCCTGTTGTTAAACCATCGTTTTTGACAAAAAAAAATTCATCTACAACACCAAAATTATCCCTACATAAACTCTGAACAATTTTTTTACATAAAATTTGAACCGATTAAAATTTATTTTTCTATATATTAAAATTCAAGTTGATTAAAATTTATTTTTTTATATATTAAAATTTAATTTGAACTGATTAAATTTGATTTTTGTTTGTGTTAAAATTTAAGCCAATTCAAGCTCAAACTGAGCTGATAGCATTAATTAAAATTTAATTCGAATGGATTTAAAATTCGATTCTCAGCTCAAATTTTAAAGTAAAAAATATAATTTTTAAGTGACTTAAATTTTAATACATCAAAAATAAATTTTAATTGAATTAAATCAAATTTTAATCGACCCAAATTTTAATACATAAAAAAATTCAGAAAATAGAGTGGGTTTTATTGAATATATATTTATCAAGAGGGGATGTGATTAAAACTTTTTCTAAAATATATCATGTGCAATTTAGTAAAATTGTATTTTAGTCAGCGCTATTAATCTGACAAGAAGTGTCACTGATGTTTTAGATAATAAAAAGAGTCTCATTGAAGATATGCATTTTTAGAGGGGATATCAATGATAATTACCCAACCTAACATTTCATACGCTTAGTTAAGCTGATTTTATGACTAAACTAAAATTGTGAATGAAAAACTTGACAATAGAGTTAGGTAGAGTTGTACTACGTATTAAGCTTCTTAATTTTTAAGGGCTATAAATGTTTTTGGTATTGCTCGAAATTTTATTATAAAACTAACTCATGAGTTAAGAGTTACAAACAAAAATAAATACATTCTATATATTCTTTCTTCGAATCCCCACCTCTTCCCCCAATTACCAATCCCCATATCAAATCTTCCCTTATACATATGTGTGTATGTTTACTTGCAATTTGATCTTTCCAATTTCAAAAGTAAAAATAACGGTTAAATACTAGTCGTTGAAGTATCGGCTAAGAACAAAGTGAAGTAATCGTCACAAGTTTTTCAAAATTAGAAATTATATATTCAATGTATGAAAGAATTAATGCATCCTCCCATGTGATTACCATTACTTTTAAGCATTATATTATTATTATTATTATTATATTAATACATATGCAAAGGGATTGAAGCATTTCGACGGTTTGCATATTAATTGGACTTCCAACCTTGCCGCAAACTGTTGCAACCTTTCGGATGGTATTTAAATACCCAACGGATGGCTAAGGAAGTGAGTTTTTATCTTTGACATAAGAAACATGAAAATTCAAAAGCAAAGACACAGTTTGATCATTGGTTTCGGTCAAGCCAGATACTTCTTTCAAATACACCGATTTCTTGTAATATTCATTTGTTATTTTTTTTCATCTCAGAATATTGTCATTTGTGATTTTGATATTTGATTTAGGAACGATCAAGAGTTGTTCGATATATCTCTACTTTTATGAGTACACGCTTGTAAAAAAATAATAGTTGACTCATAGAGGATAAGACGATATAATCTGCTGCACCGGATTTTTGTACTCAGAAGAGCGAAAATCTATTTTTAAGGATAGTGACTACACGCCTCTATCGATTAATTTTCTTACATTACATGTTTATTTTTTTTTGTTTTGTAGCATTCTTGACTTGATTTTCACAACAATCTTAAGAATAGATACAATACAGATGTTACAATTATAAAAAAAGACTATTCCAAATGTAACAAAACTTGAACATTTCAATGGGTCTAATTTTTCGTGTTGGGAATAGATAGTTATGATGTTACTATTTTATTTTTTTTAAGTTAGTTATGATGTTACTAGATATACATGTGTTGCCTCTATTTTGATTGATTTAAAATTTGAAGAAAATATCAAAAATTATGAAATTGAAAAATAAAAATGAGAAAAATCTAATAAGATTTGTTGGAATATTACCTTGAATGCTCTATCGAATGAATTGTTTGATATTTATTATAATTACAAGCATGCTAGAGAGATTTATGATAGTTTGGTGAAAAAGTATGTATATATATATACATTGGTTAAATGTAGGCGGTATGAGAGTGTAATTTTATTAATAATAAAAATATAATTACACCTAGTCAGGGGGACTTAATGTACCTTATCCCTCGATGCAAGTTAAGCTACATTTAGAAGTGCATGCAGCTTACAACTTGTAATTAAAAGAAAGCCTAAAAGGCCAAAAAGTCAACACAGACTCCTTATGCAAAGAAAAAGTATATTGTCCAAAATGCAAAGATTATAAAATATGCTGTAGAAAATTTCTTAGACTATAAGATGGTTGAAGATAAGAATGTGTCTTCGTAAATTCATGAGTATCATCTAATTATTAACGAGTTGAGGAATGATGGAATTATTTGCCTAAACCATTCGTAACAAGTGCTTTTGTTGATAAATTACCTTATTCTTGAAAAATGTACAAAAATAATCTCAAACACAAAAGAAAAGATGTCTTTTGAAGATGTGATCATCCATATTAGGATTGCAAAGAAAAATCATTGGAAGGATAAAATTAAAAAGGCTAAGGAAAATATATCTAAGGCCAATGTTGGGGAGACATCGAATAAGCCTCAATATAAGCATAAGAAAATAATCACAACGGAAAAAATCTCCATAAGGCTCAAGGTCCTAGTTTTAAGAAGAAAATGTAATTGTTTTGTTTGCGGAAAGGTAGAATATTATGCTCAAAAATGCTGACACCAAAAGCAAAACAACAAATTTGCCAAGCCAAATGTTAATTTGGTAGAGGCGGATGATATTATTGTTGTGGTCGTATTCGAGGCTAACATGGTTGCTATTACAAAAGATTGGTTGATAGACTCTATGGTTAGAAAGCATATCTGTGGCATTAAAAGTGTTTTTATCTCCTATAGACTTGTGGAGGATGAAGAGGAACAAGTGTTCATAAGTGACTCTAGACCTTCGTCTATTATAGGTAAGGGAAAAATATTACTGAAGTTAAATTCTGAAAAAATCCTCTCATTGTCTGATGTGCTCTCTACGTGGCTAATATTCGTTGGAACTTAAGGTCGGTATCTATCTTGAATAATCAGTGAAAGTAACATTTGAGAGTAGTAATATCATAATGATTAAGAATGAGACATTTGTTGCGAAATGTTACTATAATAAGACTCTTTATGTACTGAATGTTACTGAAGTCAAAAATGAGAATGAATTTAGCTCTTTTACTTCTATACTTGAGTCTCTTGATATGTGAAATGGTAGATTAAGTCATGTGAATTTTATTTATATCAAGAAAATGAGGGAATTAGGTCTTATCTTAAATTTT